CTCTGATTTCCTCCAGTCCTTCTTTTCATTGGCATACATCATTCTTCACCTTCACATTTCTTTGTTCAGTGTTTTCTGTATTTTCTTGAATATCGTCCTTTAGTTGTTTCATGAACGATTGTGTGTCTTGGTTTTGGGATCTCACTATTTCTAAAATTGTTTGCAGGGTAGATTTTGTTTCCTCCCAAAAATCTCCTTGTTGTGACATTATGTCCTTAGATGCCAGGTACTTGTATTTCAAGTGTCCCATTCACTCGGTGTTTGTATTAGGCTTTCCAAAGTTAATTGTATGTTTTAGTCAGTTCTCAGAAGAAGAAGAAACCAGAAAGACAAAACAAGAGTTTCAAATCAGGTTTCTAGGCTTTTTCAAGGTTTCTGGGCTATTTGCCAACACTGTTGGCACTGTTGACATTACTGAGCGTTGTTTGCAAAAACAATTTTAAGAAGATGATTTCTTAAGTTTAGCACCAAAGTAATACAGAATTTCTTTCCTTGCAATATAATTAAGTGTTTTATTATTGTCCAATTTATTTTCTTTGCTTCTCTTTGTGTCTCTTTCCCCTGCTCCAGATCCACCCCTGCTTAATTTAGAGTTGGGGCCCAGAGACCCTCTCTTTTTTTCCCTGTTAGAGGGATTATTTCATCCAGGGATAGTTATAGAATAGTATAATTAAGATTTTGTATCTCACCCTGTATTAACGACGATGTTTAATTTGGCTAGTCTATCGCTTCTTCATTTGCCAGCTGCCGACGACTGGCAAGCGGGCTTATTCAGTTTCTTGTTTCCACCCGCTGGTTGATTGGGGAGTTTCCTGGATCAAACGTGGGTAACCGCCGCCCCCTCACATGATCAACAGGCTTCTCCCCCATTTCACCATCTCTTCGGGGTGGTTTTACCCCCCTGGGGGGGTCCCAAACAGGTCGGAATTCAGCCTAGGAGACAGAAATCCGTCCTCCTCCTGCTGTCTCATCGCAGAGAAGTCAAGCCAGAAGTCAGAAAGTAACTTCTTTAAGCGCTCTTTTATCTGAGATATCCTGCCATTGTAAAGAAATATAGCTTGGAAAAATTATTTCTTGGACTACAGCTCCCAAAATTGCCCATCCAGCGTGGCTACTGGCTATGAAGAGGACTTAGGAGTCCAAAAAAAGGTAACTTTTCAAAGCAGTGGAACCAAATGACTCAGTGTGCTACCGGACTGTAGCACTTAAATCACTCTCTGGGCAGTTTACAATTTAATTATGGAGGCTACACATTGCACAGACACACCCACCCAGCGAGCTGGGTACTCAGGTTTACTGATCTATTAAGGATGGAAGGCTGAGTCAACCTTGAGCCAGCTATCTGAGCCCATCGGGATCAAACTCAGATTGTGAGCAAGAGTCCACAAGGTTCCTGTAGATTAAGATGTCTTTGACAGTGTTCATTTCACTGGGGATAACCTGAGAGAGATGGTGTGGTAGATAGTATTGGACTTCAATGCAGCCCTACAAACACAGTTCACATTTCTGGATCTGTGACAGCACAGTGGAATGTTTTAGCGCTCATCCTAACTCCCCTTTGCTATAAAGTGAAGGCCATGTATCCCTGAAACTGAAAATCTTCAGCCTTTCCTGATCTGGAACTAGAGATGGGCATGAACAGGTTCGTCCTAGTTCGTCAAGGCGGCAGCCCAGCCACTGCTGCTCCCCTCCACTGCTGCCTCTGACTCAATTGACCGCTCGCCAGGCCGGGGCCTGCTTGCTTTTTCCACCTTTTCAACTGATCTTCCAGTCCCGGCAAGAGCTCCGACTTCTCTGCTCCGCCTTCTTGGCTGATCTCCCAATCAGAGAAAAGAGGCAGGGCAGAGAAGTCTGTGCTCCTTCTCGTGACTGGGGGATTAGCCAAGGAGGTGGGAAAAGCAAGCAGTCTGGGCCTGCTGAGTGGCTGATCTGCGGAGGAGAGCAGCAGCACCTGTGCTGCCACCTTGACGAACCGGTTCGTGCCCATCTCCATCTGGAACCTTTAGTCTCAACAAATATTGGGAGGGGGCATTTCTTAATGCACTGCTTATCCACCTTCCTTCTCGTGACTGGGGGATTAGCCAAGGAGGTGGGAAAAGCAAGCAGTCTGGGCCTGCTGAGTGGCTGATCTGCGGAGGAGAGCAGCAGCACCTGTGCTGCCACCTTGACGAACCGGTTCGTGCCCATCTCCATCTGGAACCTTTAGTCTCAACAAATATTGGGAGGGGGCATTTCTTAATGCACTGCTTATCCACCTTTACTGGGGCCATCTGGAACCGTTAATCTCAACAAGTATTGGGGGGGGAGCATTTCTTAATGCACTGCTTATCCACCTTTACTGGGGCTGCAACGGTGGCTGACTCCACAGCTGAGAATTATTGAAATGGCAAAATAAGACGACGATAACTCTGCCTATTTCCTGTGCAAGCGTACCGAAGAACCAGTCACATTTATTGTGCAATAATATGTGAGAATGAATCCCACTCATTTCTCAGGGGCTGAGGCAATGTGCTCCACAAAGCTCAGCTGCAGAGAGGATGTGAGCCAAGGGGCACTTTAGAAAGATGTTTCCCTGGGTAGCCTTCCTGTTCCATTCACATAATTTTACACCATCACCAAGTTGTAATTCTCCAGTGGATGTCTTCCCCTCCATTCTCCTCCAGCCTTTCTGCTTACTGCAAAATAAGAAGGGGGGAAGGAACCAGTGTTTCCCACCCCCACCCACCCCCAGAAAGTTGCAAAGTGTTTTCCGGGGTATTGTGGGTCTTGTGTCTGTTGTAGCCCTTGTTAAATAATTTATTCCTTGCTCTTTCAGAGCAGGATAATAAAGTTAGTGTGCACCTGTATTTATGAGAAACAGCTCTCCATGTGGAAGCACACTTCCAGGCAACTTGTGCAGATGAACCCCCACAGCATAATCTAGAAACATAACCACACTTAGTGGAGATCACTCTGAGGTAGGCTTGTCCAAGATTATTATCTGCATGCATTTAAGACGGTCAGGCTGGATTTACAAAAGAGGATCATGTTGGGAAAAACAGGAAAGCAGAAAAAGAAGACCAAACACGAGGCGGTTTAATTTGCAAGGAAGGACACGGGGCTTTTCTGTCTGGGAGACCGGAGTTGGGTGGTTCTCAAGGTGGGCACCTTTTCACTCCTTCCACGTGGATGGGCAGCAGGATGAAATCACCACCTTTAAGACGTACTGGGGGGGTGGGGCAGATGGGCGGCCCTGAAGCCTCCATGGTTTAAAAACAACCCATGTTTCCCATGCCTGGAAGCCTCCAGGGGTTCTGGTTTAAACCGCCCAAATCTTCCCAGCAAGGCTCCTGCTAGGTGCGATGGGCTTTGTAGTCCACAAAGGCCCAGCGGGAAAGGATTCACTAGGGAAGCATTTCCCGGGCGCCCGAAGAGCTCCCCACCCCTCCCTTAGGCGCAAAGAGTGCTGGGAGTCGTAGTCCCGGAGGCCAAGGGAGGCCCGTGGCGGCTTGCTGTCGGTCTGAGCCGCGACGGACTTCATTTCCCACGGACCATCGCGGCGGGGACCACGTGTTGGAGCCTCGGCGAGGTCCCGAACGCGTAACTTTAGTTCCGCGGCGGAAGAAGGTGTGTGTGTCGGGGGTGGGGGGGACGGACAAGCGATGAGGATCACAAACGTGGCGTGGTAACTGTTGCGAAGGGGGGGTGAGTGTCTCATTTCACTGTCTTGTTACCCCTAGGCCCCAATTCCGGCCCCTGAGCCCTGAAAGGCACGGGATGCTAAGACCGAGGTCCCTCTGAGCATATGCAGAGCGTCGCTGGTTGGTTGCTTATTTAGTCATTTGTTTCGGCGCTTGGGAGTGTTCCCTTCCCCCCCTCTTTTGGACTACAATTCCCAGTATCACATGCTGGCTGGGGGGGATTCTGGGAGTTGTAGTCCCCAAAAGTCAGGCCTGGGAGCTGAGATTGATTGTATGGTATATTTCTAAGGCCCCTCACCCACCCCACCCTGGCACACACTTCTTGGCTCCCACGAGCACGCCTCGCCCCTTCATCCTTACGACAGCCCTGTGGAGTAGACCAGGTTGCAAGTGGGCTTGAGGAGCAAGATCCCTGCCTAGAAAACCAGCCCTCAGAGGCCTGCCGTGACATCTCTCGGCCCTCCTCGCTTCCCCCCCAGCAGGCTGGCTTGTCTGAATACAAAATATGTGTATGTGTAATCAGTTTTGATTGTATAATTATTATGTTTATTGTCTTGTTTGCAGTAAATGTGTAAACTTGATGTTCTTGGACTTCAACTCCCAGAAATCTGGTCACCAGAGGTGGTGGTGAAGGCTTCTGGGAGTTGTAGTCCAAGAACATCTGGAGGCCCAAGGCTGGGGACCAGTGGTATAAAAGGCAAACATGTGAACCACGTACCAGTGCGGTGTAGTGAACAGGGTTTTGGATTAGAATGCAGGAGGCTTGCGTTCAAAGCCCTGCTCAGCTAGGGAAACTCACTGAGGGAGTGGAACTGGTAAAGCCACTCCTTAAATACCTCTCTTACCTTGAAAACCCTATTAGGGTCACTGTAGGTCTGTCCTGACTTAATGGCACATAACAACAAGTGTGGTGGAGTAGATGGTGGCAGACTAGGATTCTGGAGAACAGAGTTTGAATCCCCATTTAACCATGGAAACCTACTGAGGGAGATGGTGTGGAACTGGTGAAACCACTCATTAAATGTTGTTGTTTAGTTGTTTAGTCATGTCCGACTCTTTGTGACCCCATGGACCAGAGCACACCAGGCCCTCCTGTCTTCCACTGCCTCCCGGAGTTGGGTCAAATTCATGTTGGTCGCTTCGATGACCCTCTCCAACCATCTCGTCCTCTGTCGTCCCCTTCTCCTCTTGCCTTCACACTTTCCCAACATCAGGGTCTTTTCCAGGGAGTCTTCTCTTCTCATGAGATGGCCAAACTATGGGAGCCTCAGCTTCAGGGTCTGTCCTTCCAGTGAGCACTCAGGGTTGATCTCCTTCAGAACGAAGAGGTTTGATCTCCTTGCAGTCCAGGGGACTCTCAAGAGTCTCCTCCAGCACCACAATTCAAAAGGTCTCTGACTCTCATACATACATAGAAACAAAACCAAGTGGCTCAACTTGTTTCCAGAAGAACAGCCAGATCACTAGGAGGAAGTCGACTCCTGTGGAGGTGTGGAAATCTCCGATTCCACCCTCCAGGAGGTTTGCTCCAATATTCTTCCTGGGGAAAAATTGGTTGGTGTTTCATCTTCTCATTTTGGATTATTACACCCAAGGGGGTGAGGCCATTGGGATTTTGAACCACAACTTCAGAAATTCAGGTTCAGATCCCTAGAGCCCCTTACTGGCTAACCATCATCCTCTTTCAGCCTGATTTAACTTGCAGAGTTTTTAGGAGGCTAAAGAGAGGAAGGGCAGATTCCTGTAAACCACTGTGACCTTCCTGGAGGAAAAGTGAGACATAACAAACAAAAACAAGGCTCTTCATGCCAATATGATGAAGCGTTTTAAAAGTGCAATTTATCTGCCTTGTTTATAAGCGCCTGTGTTTTCCCATCACTGCCAACTTCCCAAGGAAGTTGAAAATCAGAATAGATCCACAATTTCTTTGATTGGTAGTCTTAGGAGTAGCTTTCCATCTGATAGACCTCAGTGGTGCCTGGTTCACTGTGCCAAAAGAATTTTGACTTTCCAAGCTATGATATTAAAGGGAAGGCTGTTTAATGCCAGGCTGGTATCGACCTGAAATTAAAGGGCAGACCAAATGGACACATGAAACAAAGCTCTGGGCATAAAGCAATCTGGACTCAATCAGCCCTTGCATGATTTTTGCTGCTGAATTTAAAAAATCAGTACCTTGGGCCTGCATGATCATCCCTTGTCACCATCTGGCTTTCTGCATAAGCACTTCTTGTCCTGTATAGGTGGCGCCCATCTTTCGGCCACCATCCTCAAAGTGGTTACTGAGTGGTGAGATATTTCATCATTCCTGCGTTCCTCTGCATCAGCTTCTGCTTTTCTTGCAGTCACAGCAAAGACGTTCTGATGGATGCTTGGCCCCTCACGCCGGGGGAGCTCGTCTGCTTGGGATCGAGTCTGGCTTTCTCTGGCCTTTTCTATTACCTGCACAGGAAGAAGGCCAAGGTGGTGGCCAAGATTCAGGTATGCGGTTGTACAGCTAGTCTCTCACTTTTCGGGGGGAAGAGAACACCGCATAGGAATACAATAGGACCCCTGTATTCACAGGCAAATGGTTCCCAACCCTCCTGTGGATGCTGAAAATGATCGGCGGTTTCAAAATGGCCACCAGGTAAATGAAATGGCCCCCTGCTGTTTTCTGGGATGGATTCCTCGCTGCACAGGCAGCAAAAATGGCCGCCCTATGGAGGATCTTCACTGGACGGTGAGTTTCCAGCCCATCGGAACGCATTAAACGGGCTTTAATGCGTTTCTATGAGCTTTTTAATTTTGCTTTACGACGTTTTCATTCTACAGCAATTTCGCTGGAACGAATAAATGACGTAATGCGAGGCACCACTGTATTTTAATAGCAATGATCTCTGGCTCTCTCTAGTGGCTGGTTCCTCTAATGACGCTGTGGAAATATATTTCTCTGGGAGTTTTCTTTTAATATTTTTAATATTTTCAGACAGTGAATAAGTGAATCAGTGATTCTGTGAATCGGGATCCTATTGTCGTTTAATAGTTACAGAACACATTGCAAGTGTTATTATGGGGATGCCGATTATTTTGGCTAGACTTCTGGATGGGGCACATAACGTTGCACAAATTTGTGTTAGCCTGTCTTGAAGTATCTCGTTTGAAGCTGGTTGTCTGCAAGACTGTCTTCTCCATTATTGACTCATTTCATCCCTGAGGTCATCTAGATGGGCCCTCTTGATGGTGTCAACATGCCCAGGAGATTTCCTCCACAGTTCCTCAAGAGCAGGGAACTTCATGTGGTGACACCCATTACAGTATTGGGATTTCTCAACATTCTGGTGCGAGACACGCTACACGAATTCTTATTTTAGTCAAATAGGTAAATTTGGCCGAAAGATTGCTCTGTGTTGTAAATCACACAACAGGAGGCCTGTTGAATCAATGGGGATTTGGTGAGTCGACTTCTCTGTGAGTTCCATTGATTCAAATGGGCCAACTCTAATGGCGCCTTCCTCTGCTAAAGTAAATTACAGTTAGAGTAGGCCCATTTTGGGACTTGTGGCGGAGTTCACTCACCAAATCCCCAATGATTCAATGGGCCTACGCTAGTGTGATTTACTATGCTAAGCAATAGATTTTGTCAATTGTAAAATTACCTGGTTTTGCAAGCTTTCACCTGGTGTAGTTCAGCTTTGTCCCCCTTTCACCTTACTTTTTAAATGCATTATTGTACTACTAGCTGGCTGGATATCTCAGTGGATTAGGTCTCTGGCTGCACAGCCAGACGTTGGGAGTTTGATTCCCCCACTGGGGCCTCTTCAGAAAAGAGTTAGCCTGTGTGGCCTTGGGCAAGCTGCACAGGGTGCCCAGGGTGCCCCCTGGAGGATGGAAAGGTAAAGTACTTCTAAGTATTCTCTACTGGAAATTAGTGGTGCCCAGGGTGCCCCCTAGAGGAATGGAAAGGTAAAGCACTTCTAAGTATTCTCTACTGGAAATTAGTCACCATAAATCAAAATTGACTTCACAGCACATGATGAAGAGGGTGGTGGTACTTCTGGTTGCTTTTATATGCCTATTTGAAATCTTCTTGTAGAAGTATCATTTTCAATATGCATAAAATGTTAAATAACAATGTTCACAGGACTTTGCATGCTGTCTTGAAAGTGCTCCCAACAGGTCTGAAAGATACACCAGTATTATTTGACTCCATCTTGTCGCTGGGGAGTGCCAAAAAATGAAATAGACAGAATCTCCTTGTGCATGTCCCTCATGGAGAACCACTGGGATTGGGGTGTGTATGGCACTGTGGTTGCCATATGTTGCCAAGTCACCTCCGACTTACGGCGACCCTATCGTGTTGCCAAGTCACCTCCGACCCTATTCATGAACAACCACCACCATGTCCTGCGTTCAGCAGCCCTGCTCAGCCATTGGGGGGGAGGGAGCCTATGCAATGAAACTGATTGCTGTTAGATTTACGATCCCCAAGAAGAAGCATCGCTTCACGCAACCAGTAATTAAGCACAGGTTTTAGAAAGTCATGGTTCCTCTTGTCTACCTTAAACCAAACTGTCCATTGCTATTGGGAGTCCCAGGGCAGTCCCAGGGTTCATGGAGGGCCAGTAACTTTGGCGGCTTCCGAAACAGTTGTGCCCAGAGTGAGAATCTTTTGACCTAGACTACAGCTCCCAGCATCCTTCCTCTTCGGCTGTGTGGGCGAAGGCGGAAGGGAGTTTCCATCCAAGAACAACTCTGTGTGTGTGTGTGTGTGTGTGCGCGTGCGTGTGCGTGTGCGTGTGCGCGAGCACATCCATCCATCCGTATCCCTCCCATCCTTTTTTTAAACGCATCAGTAGAAGAGGAGGCATTTATGAATGGCTGTTAGTCAAGTAACGTCGTGTCCAGAGTAACAGATGTGAGGTGTTGAGAAGGAGCCGCTGCCACCTTGGCCGTAGGTGGTGGTTGCTTCATTAGTGAGCATTCATAGAATGGAGTTGGAAGAGACCTCTAAGGCCATCGAGTCCAGTCCCCTGCTGAGGGCAGGAATGCCAGTCAAAGGAGATCTGCCAGGGGGTTGTCTGACCAGCCTAATTCAGGCTGACTTCCATTCCTGTGATGGCGTGGAATTGACTAAGGCTAGCTGGTGAAATTGCAAGGTGGGGAAGATTTGAACTCAGGATTTCCCAGCTCCTCTAGTTCCGGTGGTTTCTTTTATTCTGTCTCTTCTCTTTTGTCCCTCCCTCTCCCTCGCTGCATAGGAGGCTCCCAAGCTTCAGGTCAGCGACGATCTGTATGTCATTCTCTCTGCCACGGGGAGCAGTTGCCTGCGCTACGTTGCCATTGAAGGTAAGGATTCCTGCAAGACGGATCTCGTCTGGGTTTTTTAAATGGCCGGCAGCCGTCCACCGCACTGCAGCCCTTTCCTGATGCGTTCCACATTCTCCCCTCTCACCCATCCTACTCCTCAAAAGCCCCACTTTCTTCCCCCTTCAGGAGTGGTGCAGCCTGCTGAGGCGCCTCTGACCAGCCCGTACCACAAGGAACTGCAGGGTGTGATCGAGAGACTGGTGCTGAAGGAGCATCGCCTGATCTGGAACAGCCTGGCCCGGAGCTGGTGAGCCAAGGGCAAGCGGCCATTCCCGGTTCTGCCCGGAGGGGCTGGGTGACACCTCCGGCAAGGCTAAGGGCCCTTGGATCTTCCACAGGTGCTCCTCCCTGCATTAGGGATTAACACTGGCCTACAGTAGAAAAATAGTGTCCCCATAAAAGAGGCTGGTTTGTGCTCTTCTGGTTCCCGTGGGCTGGGGGAGGGAGGTTTAGGACAGACCTCTGCTCCTTAACCCAAGCGCCAAAAGGGGACAGGCTTAGGAAAAAGTTTGAAGGCACAACACCAAACACTCTCTGAACGAGGCCGGTCTGGATGTGTAAGCTGATAAAATGGGAAACCGCCTTTATCAGCTCTAATAGAGCACTGTTCTCCGGAAGAAGCAGCAACGGATTGAAAAAAAGGATGGACAGATGGATAGATTAGATACATTTATTGATTAGATTGGATGGATGGATGGATCATCATCATGTGCCATGGAGTCAATTCTGACATGGTGACCATTCCCCGGATTTTTTAGGATACACAGCAGTGGCTGACCATTCTTTTCTTCTGGGGGGTGCCCTGGGGCTGTGCAGCTTTTGTCCGATATATTGATTAGATTGGATGGATGGATGGATGGATGGATGGATGGATGGATGGATGGATGGATGGATGGATGGATGGATGGATGGATGGATCATCATCATGTGCCATGGAGTCAATTCTGACATGGTGACCATTCCCCGGATTTTTTAGGATACACAGCAGTGGCTGACCATTCTTTTCTTCTGGGGGGTGCCCTGGGGCTGTGCAGCTTTTGTCCAAGGCTACACAGTCTGGCTGTACTCCCTGGAGGCACAGAGGGGGAATCGAACTCCCACCTCTGGCTTTGCAGCCAGAAACCTAAACCACTGAACCAGCCAGGTAGATAGATAGATGATAGAATGATAGAGAAGCAGAGGTGGGGTGGGATTGTAGAGACAGTCCGGGAGCAACTTTTTCCTTTCTTGTTCAAGGCTAGGGTCTTTCTATGAAATATTAAACACCACCCATGATCCTGTGCCTGGAGACTCGGCCCCCACCAGATGTGTCAGGCGTCAACTTCCACCATCCCCCTATGGCACAACCGTAGTGTCATGGTCATTGTTGTCCAGTGCATTGGAAGAGCATCAGGCTGCGCAAAACGCCTCGCCTGTGATCCGCAGGTCTCCCTCGCTGGGTGTCTTCAAGAAGCAATTGAAGACATGGTTGTTCCGGCAGGCCTTTCCATCATTCTCCTCTTGACCCCCCTTTTTTGTTTTTGTTTTTTGCTTTGTGTATTATATGATTTAATGTAGTGCCTTCTTTTTTAGAATTGTCTGTCTTCGTTGTTTTATATTCTCTTTATGGTTGTTAGCCGCCTAGAGTGGTCCGTTTGGACCAGATAGGCGGGGTATAAATCAAATAAATAAATAAATAAATAAATGATCTTCCACAAGGGTGGGAGCCATCCAGTTCTTGAGCCCCCTTGAGCTTGCTTTGTGGAGCAGAGCAAGCCAGATGGGTAAAATGCTGCTAAATGTGTCTATTGTGCATTGTCCGTATAGCGTATCACATTTTCCTTAGCAAGGTTTGCCGTTCGCTCGCCTTGTGGGATCCACTTTGTGGGACAGAGGTTGAACCTCCTTGAAAGCAGATCCTCTCAGCGCTCTCCTTCTGTTCCAGGACCGACAGCGAACGGGTGGTGCTGGAGCAGGTGCACACAGTCCCGTTTGTCCTGACGTCCCCCAGCGGCCATGCGGTGGGGCAGGTGAGCGTGGATTCGCCCCTCGATGCAGTCGAGCTGCCCCTGGAGACCGTGTACGAGCGCTTCCAGCAGACCTCGCATGGCTTCAGGGACCTGCTGAGTCACTACCTGAGCGGCGAGAAGCCCAAGGGCTTCCTGGAGACGGAGGAGATGCTCCTTGTGGGGAGCAGCCTCACCGGGATCGGCGAGCTGGCCCTGCGCCCCGACGGCTCCCTCCACCTCCAGCCTCCGACCGACGGCTCGGCCTACTTCCTGTGTCTCGGGGACTGGCAGACGCTGTTGGCTGACCTCCGGTCCGCGAGCAGCTTCTGGAAGTGGGCGGCCCTCTTGTGCGGCTTGGCTTCTGCCGCCGTCGTCCTGCACGCCCTCTGCCGAGCCTACCAGCATCGCAAGTTGAAGCGGGAGCAGGAGGCGCAGCGGCGAGAATACGAGAGCTTGTTGCGCCACAACCTCAGCCCCCTGGATCCAGCAGAAGAGCCCCCCGAAAACAGCTGCATCATTTGCCTTACCAATCTCCGGGAGTGCGTCCTTCTGCCCTGCGGCCATGTCTGCTGCTGCTTCCGTTGCTTCCAAGCCTTGCCCAACCGGTCGTGCCCCATCTGCAGGGGCCACATAGACCGGGTGGTTCCCCTCTATCAGGCCTAAGGGGACAGATCCACCTCAGCAACCTGCATGTGTTCACCAGACTCCACCAGCATGGCGTGCGAGTGTTTGAACAGAAGAAGCGTGCAGTTAGATGAGTGCCCTTCAGACATGCTCTACCTCTTGGCTTCGGTGAGTAGAGTCCAGCGGTGTGCGATCTGTTCATGTCCCTCACCTTGACCGCCATGTGGGTAGGTCCACAGCGGATAGCACAATGACGCTTGCCTGAGCCATCCTCTCCCTTCTCCTGGACTTGAAGCAGTGTGGAAGAGCTTGTGAGTTGTGTTAAGTTGTGTTGGTCTGTTGGACGTCCTGCCAAGGAGGTGAGAAGGGCTCCCAAACCACCCGGGAGAAAGATTGTACAGAGAAAGAAGTGGAAGGGGAGGCAGCCTGGACGCCCATATATTTGCTCTGCCAACTGCTGTGGGTCAAACGAGACCTGGAATTGGCCAGAAATGGCAGAAAATCCACAACAGGGAAGGCCTGAACTTGTCCTTCCAGATTTGATTTCTGGGGGTGTTTTGAAAATAAGGTTGCAACACACCTCATGCAGATAGATAAATATATATTTGTAGTAGCTTTGTTTCCTGGGCTGAAGTTTTCTCAGAACTGCGCTTTGGGGCTGTGTATTGCTCCTATGCCATTTTTGGACCACCGTTGCAGTAGGGGTTAAAGATCTTCACTTCCAACCTATGTTTCCTACCTTAGGCCTTCTGGAATCTGGGCAAAGTCCCCTTCTTAGCTAGTAACTTCTCCAAGCCAACCTGATCGCTCCCTTTAGACTCTGAGAAAAACAAGGTTCTCAAAAGTGGAAAGCAACACGTTGTGGCTTAATACTCTACAGGGGCTGCCTCTTTTCATATTGTGCTGTAACTTGGGAGTTAGTTTTCACAGGTATTTTTACAGGTGGCTGTTTTTGTTTGGACCAGGTCCAGTTTGATGTCAATGCTGGCAGGGACCACTTGGGTACTGGTGAGGGGGCAGGCTGTAGGGCAGTGGTTCCCAATCTTGGTTCCCCAGATGTTCCTGGGCTGCAACTCCCAGAAGCCTTCCACTACGAACTGTGATGGCTGGGCATTTTAGTCCAAGAACCTCTGGGGTCCCAAGTTTGGGAACCACTGGTGTAAGATGATGGCAGGCATGTATCCTTATCTGAAGCTTTTCCACGTTGCACCTGCCATGTGGAATGGCATCCAAGCTGCCTCAACACAGAGGCTGTAATGAAAACTGGCCTGTATGGGTGGCCTTCTGCAAGAAGCTGGGTGGAAACAGGACCAGTATGGATATCCTGGAGGCACGCCTGCTCTTCCTGGCAACTCTGGATGAAGTGTGCTGTTTGTACCCTACCACAGTGGTCCCCAACCTTGGGCCTCCAGATGTTCTTGAACTACAACTCCCAGAAGCCTTCACCACCAACCTCTGCTGGCCAGGATTTCTGGGAGTTGAAGTCCAAGAACATTTGGAGGCCCAAGGTTGGAGACCACTGCCCTACCAGGTCTACTTGAGTCGGTTATCAGTGTAATTCTGCCACTGAAGTCGGAGAACGCCCTTTGCCTTGAGCGAGCCCGTCACTAAATGGCAAGTGCTCTATACACGCAAGTCACTGGCTCCTCCTTGTTGCTCATCCTGGATTTTTTTCAGATTTCTTCCTTATAGGAGCACTAGATCAGGAGCAGACCACATGTGACCCTTGAGATGCTCTTGGACTACAGCTCCCATCAGCCCTAGCCAGCATAGCCAATAATGAAGGATGATGGAGCGACAGCACGACATTTGGAACAAAGGTTGGAAAAAATTCCTTTGCTGGACAACAGTTCCCTGAATCCTCCCCCTGCCTGCCCCCCCAGCGGGCATGTGGGGATTCTGGGAGTTGTAGTCCAGGAATATAGCTTTCCCAGACTTTGGTCCAGAGACCCGCTTATTTCTCACTCTTGCATCAGAGACAGAGTGTCAATCAAGCCATGGCAGCAGGATATTCAGCACCTCCATCTGATGCTTTTTGGATAAAACTGGCCTCCGTCCTCTGGCTTTTCCAAGGGATTATTGGCATTGAACTCTGAATAAGCCATGGAGACTTCCTCATTCTGTCCCAGACTGTTTTTGCTGATGAACGGGGTCAATGGGTTTGTCTCTGGGATTGAGCTGAACATTGGATCGGCACTTGGTAGAATTGCTTTGCAGAGTATGTGGAATTGAGACTTATTATGGATTAAATTGACAAATCCACCCAAGCCTGCCTTGCCTCTTTAATCTAAAGACCAACAGAACAGATGTTCGGGAGAGGGAGGGCGGACAGGTGAAGCGGAAGGGAAATGCACCTTATCTTTAAAACACAACAAACAAGCAGAGTGAAGTGCAAAGTCCGGTCCCCAGTGAACCTCAGAGGGGTTCTTTCTGCTGCTGCTGCTGCTGAAATGCAAGACCCCCCTAGCAAATGGAAATGGGGGGGGGGGAAGAGTCTGAATCCAGGAAAAGTCCAGGTGTATCTTATTTTATTTGTATTATATATTTCATCTTGTGCCTTCTTCCAAGTACAAGACTAAGGCGGCTTACAGAATGGTTGAAACACAGACTCTGCTCCAACGGTAATAATGTATTAAAGCTCAAAGAACTGCAGCGTTAGAAGACGTGATGGCGATTGAAAAGTCCACTGAAAAGAAAATAAAGGTGAAAAGTGCAGACCAGCCTTGCCTCCTATGGAAGGGAGTTCCGCCATCTGGGGAAAGCCATTGAAAAAGGCTTTTCTCAGGTCTTCATCAGATGTGCATTTGGTGGGACAGAGAGAGGGGCCATCACTGAAGGCTTTGAATGGGAGGCCTGTAGGGAGATAAAAGTGTCCTTCAGAGAGCCTGGACTCTTAATTGTGCAGGACTCTAATGACAGCAACAGAAACAGATCCTGAAGTCAAGGCCCACTTGCTCTGGTGACCTGCTTAAGTCCTGCTCACATCTAAGCGTTTTCTGTTTTGTCTGCCACAATTGGAAGAGTGCCTTCATCTGTTCCAGCCAAGCTATATATACCTTTCCAGAGACTCGACCCATTGGCGTGGATCTGGTGCCTGCACTTCGGAAAGGTGGTGGCTGGGGAAATCTTAAGAGGTGCAGCATGAGAAAAGCACAATCTCTGGATGTATTACTCTACTTGCACTTCCACTGTCATGAATATTTCTCTCCTTGCCCCCACCACCTTGGGAAAGTTGTGAATAATTCCATACAATAAAGCGCAATCTCTGGATGTATTACTCCACTTGCACTTCCACTGTCATGAATAATATTTCTCTCCTTGCCCCCACCACTTTGGGAAAGTTGTGAATAATTCCATACAATGCTGTATGGCATGAAAAAGGTGGCCTTCCTCACCAGATACCTTGTAAGGCACAGATGGAAGGACAGATCTTGAAGCTGAGCCTTCAATACTTTGGCCCTCTCATGAGAAGATATCCTGGAAAAGCCCCTGATGTTGGGAAAGAGTGAAGGCAAGAGGAGAAGGGGACGACCGAGGACGAGATGGATGGACAGGGTCATCGAAGCAACCAACATGAATTTGACCCAACTCTGGGAGGCAGTGGAGGACAGGAGGGCTTGGCATGCTCTGCTTCATGGGGTCACGAAGAGTCGGACACGACTAAATGACTAAACAACAACAAGGCACAGATGTGAGCCTAAGAACATCCACTCATCAATGCTCATGATCCTTCTAGACCAGAAACGGGGAACCTATGACACTCCATATGCTGTTGGACTTCCAACTCCCATTATTGTCTTTATTGTTAGCTGTGCCGCTTGGAGGTGACAGAAATTATAGTAAAGGGACATCTGGAGACCCACACATTCTCTCTGTCCCTTCCCTAGACAAGAGTGACAGATCCTATGACACTCCATATGCTGTTGGACTTCCAACTCCCATCATTGTCTTTATTGTTAGTTGTGCCGCTTGGAAGTGACAGAAATTATAGTAAAGGGGCATCTGGAGCATTCTCCCTGTCCCTTCCCTAGACAAGAGTGACAGATACAACTAGATTCAAGAGGAAGTTGGACAACCGTCTGTCAGACCTGCTTTGATTTGAATTCCTACCTTGAGCAGGGGGTTGGACTAAATGGCCTTAAATAGAATGGCCTCTATGATTCAATGATGCTGCAGTGCTTGCTTGTCAAGTAACTCTTTGTCTCCAGACCTCTTGGGGAGCAAGAACTCTGCCGTTCTATTTGTTTACCAAAACATTGTTACTCCAGAGGACAGGTGGGCATGGCATTGTTTCTAGATGAAACTTGCTGTGGTCTTAAATCCATTTCCTAGTCCTGTTTATAGCTGACCCACTGAATCACTGGGATTTATACAAGGGATGGTTTAACATTCAGCACTTGTTTCCATGAGCCTTGTCTACTTGAGACTGAGAACACTGCCCTCCCTGATTAGCTGTGGAACCTTTAAGAACAGAGAATCGTAGAAGGGTGAAGCTGGAAGGGGCCCCAAGACTCCTCACCTCCAATGCTTCATTAAACTAATATTTAGCTGAAATAGTATTTTCCCCGTCTAACAGACCCATTTATTTCCTACATTCTGGAGCTGCAGAATACAAGCTTGCTTCCTCTTCTGTGTGACAGTCCTTTGATATTTGAAGATGGCTGTCATATCACATCTCAGTCTTCTCAAGCTGAAACATACCCAGCTCTCTCAACTTTTCCTCATGATGAGGAACTGGTTGGGTACAGCCCATCAGTAGTGTCTGCTAGCTCACATTTTACTAACATGGCAACAAGAATATTGTGCGGGACCTTCTCAGAAGCCTTGCTGAAATGAAGGTATACTACATCTACAGCATTCCCATAATCTACTAATCTAGTGATTCCATTTTTAAAAAGATACTGCCTCCTGAAGCATTTGCGGTCCCTCTCAGTTTAGTGTCATGTACCATCCCGCTGTGCCTTCATCCAGGTCATTTATAAAGATGTTGAATGGCACCTAAACATGTCACATCCCTCCTGGTGAGGATCCACTGGGGAGCACTCTACAGGGATTGGTCTGTCAAACCAGCTACAAATTCACTGAGCAGGAGTTATGTATATAGAAACAAAAGTTAACACATCCATCTCTTTGAAAATGTTTGATTTTGGTTTGCTCAGCTTTTTAGTGACATCAGACTGCCAGGACAACCCAGGCCCAAAGCTGGCACTATAAGAAAGGTTCCAAGTGAGTCTTTGGTTCAGTTTTCAAATTCATTTGGCCCTAGCTGTTCACAAGAAAGAAAAAAAAACACACACACACAGCAACAACAACACCTGGTACACGGCTGACTCAGCAAGGCTTCTTAGCTTTGCCTTGAACTGGCGCCTGCTGCAGCTCAAACAAGCCACCCTCCTCCAGAGAACAACAGAGAAAGGGGCGGGCAAGTTAAACTAGGGGTATGCCAATTTACCTAATTATTCCCATTGTAGATGCCGAGATTTTGTTTTTAAAACACACATTTCCTACTCGGTGGGATCCAGTGGGCAGGAAGAGGCAGGGTGCCAGCCTTCTTAATCAAAGGGTACCTTGGAGGGGCAAATGTAAAGAGATGAATTGTGTAAAAAGAGACTTAGCTACACTCACGCTTTCTCAAATGAGTGTATCAATGGATACGCTTTCTTGGTGTATAAGCCATTTCATCATACGTTCAGGATTGAATACAGGAAATATGATTGCCATTGGGGTATTTCACAGTGAACTCAGAGGGAAAGGAAATGCATAAACGCATACTGGGATTAAGGAGCAGATGGAACAGCAGGCATAATAGGGACACCCAATGTGTGGCCTTCCAGATGATGCTGGACTTCTCATGTTAGATGGACTGGCTGGGGATGATCAGAGTCTCAGCCCTGGAAATGCACACATTCTTCTTCCTTCATTATATGCCTCAAATGGGAGCCACAGGGCTCCAGAGCATTTCAGAAATGCTGGCTTCAGCATACAGCATGGGAAGGGGATCTTATTTCAGGGGTGTGTGCATTGGTTTGGTGGTGGAAACAAAGCAGTTTATCTCATCACTTTTAGCTAATACTAGCAGTCTTAATTTTCATACAAATATATCCGTAGGGCCTTGTGTGCCGTTGGCAAGATAGATATAATAATAATAATTGTTTAGGCATCCTTCAGTCTCGAGAGACTATGGTATCGTGCACTGTATGGAGGACTTGGAACAGCGTCTAGTGTGGCGGAGAAGGCCAATTCGAGAGTGACCATCCCTTCCACACTGGAGACAAATACAATCCGTCCCCTGCCCAGCTCCCTGGTTTTGCTAGTTTCGGGACTGCCTCCTTGCCTCGGCCTGCTGGACAAGGGTCTCTTCAAATTGGGAGATGCTG